AAGGGGGGGGGGGGGGGTAACATTAGTTTAAGACTCGATTAAGCAGCAGCAAGGATTCAGATCAGCAAACCCAATAAGAAAATTTTGGCATTCTACAAGCATACAAAATGGAATATGAGCAGCAAATCTTGAGTGTAATAAGGCACGATTCGTTATAAAGAATATTTTGTTGTCAAGTTCCACTTTCAGATACCAGACAACGTTTTATAGCAAGAACATCACAAGTACAGCAGTTTCTATCCAAATCATCAAAGATAAATTGCATAGTTTATGACATGACAAAATAATCAAGTACTAATCGTTGGCAAAACTGATAGCCTTCCAAACAATACATTATAAAAAGATAAAATAAAAAAACAACCATTATTATTGTAAAATAATTTTTTTAAAAAAATAACCATTATGCAGCACAAGAACATTTAATCCTAAAATAATACCTTGAAGAACGCTGTTAGGAGAGAACCCTAGACCTGGAGATGTGATCTTCTGGATATTGATATCATTTCTTCCAAAGATATCATTACGGCTCTTGATGCAATTCTCACGAAAATTCATGTTGCAAGCATCTTTCAAGTTGACTATATAGCTAGTGGGAATGCTGGTAGTAGCAGTTGGATTAATACTGGGAACTGTTGTAATACATGTAGCAGTGGTATTTAGGGCACTGGAAGGGATCATTCTGATGGTTTTAGTTGCATCAGCACAGCTCATACCGATGGCCGATGCACCACGCATGCTACTGGTAATTGTTTCAGTAGCTGATTTCGTACAGGCGTAGGAAACTGTTTTGGGCTCAGGGACTACAGCTCCTTCGTGGGGAAAGGGGATAGCAGTGGTAACATCAAGCGTACATCTTATCTCTCTATCTGGATTATTGAGCATAATTTTCTTTGATGTAGAGTCGTTTTCTGAAGCTTCCACAGGCTTTCTTGAACGCTGTCGACCTCTATGCATGTGCCGTTCACAGTATTTCTGATGCGGGACAGTTGTCCGGCTACATCTCCATTTCTTCCCATCAGTTCTTCTGCATCTCCATGGCTCAGGCTCCATCATACTTCCGTAATCAAATCCCACAGGATTGAATCCTATAACTGCAGACAGAGACACAATTTACAAACAAATTAAAAAGATTGGCTAAAAAAGCAAAATCCCAGTCATTCTGATTGTTATTCATGTTTTAAAACAGGAGAGGACCTCATTAAGTTATTGAGATCAAGTTCTTCTGAAATGACTGATTACAGCCTCGTTGAATCCTCAATAAACTCAACTGTCTATAATCTTTCAAATGATGACAATAAATAGAAATATATGTGTTATTTCTTTCTAATCAGACACCCAACACTATAAACATAAACACAAGAATCCAAAGGGTACTCAATTTCCTAGTAAACAAAAGGTTCCTTCCTGAGTCTAGCAATGGGTCACATAGAATGGCTCTGCCCATACAATGCCAAAACAATCAAATAATTGCACCCAATAGGTATTGGAAAAAGGACAAAGCACAAAAAGGTCATTTAGTCCGTTCGTCTCTGCTGGGATGTTTACACAAAACAAACCACTGACTCCACATGAAAACATGAATAAAAATAATTTCGAACCCTAACCGTATTAAGATCTGTGAAAAGAATAGTTCTACCTAATCAACAAGTTTCGGGCATGATTCTTGCATCAATATGTTCATCGTTAATGGAAAAAGAAATCTCATCAAGACTTAAAAAACTATGACGCGATCAAAGTTTCTGATAAAATAGAACGGTTGCATTTGCTAGAATTACTTGCGAACAGAGAAATTCAGAAGAAAGATCTATTTAGGCTGGATTATATACAATACATTATGAGACCTCTGGCATGGCAACTGTTTTCAAGTTCAGAGCATCTATTCTATGAACTCACACCTGTTTGAATTGAAATACGACACAGAAATCATCAGGAATAACTTCATAAACACAGCAGCAAGAAATTGGAAACAGTTTTAGGTATCGCAAAGAATTAAACTCGGTAGCGCTCGTAGATACCATTGACATTAGAGCCCAAGGTCCTGGCAACACTCTTCCAAATTGGAACGAGAAGGTGAGTAGGAACACGGAGACCAGCAGCAAGGTATTTGTGAATAAGAACCTGCTGCTCAAGCTCCTGCAATTGACCAACCGTAATAAGCGACTCCCTTGACCGGTGAACAATCGAGGTTCTCTCGTTTCGACTTCCCGCCGAATTCGTGCCAATTTGTAGCCCGAGATTAATAGATGGCGATACCGGAGCCGATAGCTCGTCGTTTTCCGTCTGGTTACTCTCCTTTTTAACCTTCATCATCATCGCGGCCGTCGCCGCCTCATCGGTCTTCCGCCGTCTTAATCCTCTCCCTAAACATTCACAACGAGTAAAAAGAAGGAAAGAAGTCTACAACAAACAGAGTACATAACCAAACATGGCGAGTAGTAGAACAGAGAAAGAGACAGAAATACCAGTTTCCGAAGAAGGAAAGCTCTGAAGCGGATGAACTTCCATAGGAATTTTGTAAACATGAGCTCGAATCTCAATGCATCGCTGCGGGATTTAAATGCAATGAAGATGAACAAATTTTCGAATCGGAAAAGGCCAAAAATCCTGAAGCTCTCTCGCGAGAGATAGAGAGAAGAGAGAGTTAAAGCGGGTGACAGAGTTTTCTGACATAGTTTCAGTCTTTTTTTTTTTTTTTTTTTTGGCCTTTTTCCATTTTCTCTCAGCGGTTTGCCTCCAAAATCTACCTCACAAGGTTCGAGCGTTTCTGAAATCGCGCGTGAAACACACGATTCTACTGGTGGAACTGCCAGTTTTCCCTTTCTGGCAGGACTGGTTTAGTCAGTCACGCGCTCTTGTCGTGCTTGCTTACGTGGTCATTAGATCAGATGACACGTCATTCGTCGAGCCGTCTAATCACTCAGTGTGGGCCCCAGGCTCTGCCTTTTGCTATAATATTCTTGTTTCTTTGTCACCTTCTTAATTTTTTTTTTATTTGAATTTCAAATTTTCGAAAATTTCCAAATAAATTTATCGCAGTTCATTATTAAATTTTGGTTAAATTAAAAGTTTCATGACAAATTTTAATTAATATTTAATAAATTTATGAATTTTAAACTTTATATTTAATTACTTCTAAAATATGAATATATCTCAAATTTAAATGTCTGCAATTTCAATTATCTTATTTCACATATATAAAATAAAACATTAAATTTATAGCTTCTGAATCTTAATTATTTAGATGTATTTTAAATATTAAATATATCATACATAATTATAACCTCTCCAAATAAAATTATAATCTCGTGTTTTAAAAGAATAATAATAACAAACACTATTTTTATACAAATGGTAAATTTGTTAGACTCTCCACAATAAATTATATTATTCACTTTGAACATAAATTCTCATAACTTTTCTAAAATGCTTATATTTTTTTATTATAAATTCATGATTATTCCCTAAATTAATGGATATGTGACTTTCAACATCCAACAAAAACAATATAGTGAGTGACTTTTTATACTATTATAAATAAAATTTAGAGTAGCTTATAGCCAATTGAAACGTTGTAACAATTGTGTTCGTCAATGCCATGTTGATCATGACTTAAATTAAAAATTAAAATATTTGTTTATATTTGTTCGATAATTAATATTATGGTAAACTGAAATAAACTAAAGTTTGAAATATAAAATATATTAAAAGTAAATGAAGTTACACAAATATTGTCTTATACATTGTTGAAAAACATAAAAAGTTTAAAATTATGAATTTGATTTTTATTTTGGGTTCGGTAGATTTATTAATTTTAAAATATATGAAAAAAAAAATACTAAATTTGTAAATTTAAAAGGAAATGACATCGATGAAGTTAATAAATTTGTAATTTAAGATTTATTTTTCGAATTGCATTTTCATTAGGAGCTTTGTTTGTATTGAGTTGGGAACCCGAACCGCAAGCTCGAGAGAAGCTCTGAAAATGGTGGGTAATTCTCTTGGTCATTTAATCGAACACCTTGGCCTTTTCTTCTTTCGATTATCTGTCTATGGTGGAATTTCATTACAGGCGTCTGAATCCCTTATTTCCACTCGTGTTCGCAGTCTGTTACTTTGCACACGAATCTCGGAGACATCAAGTGCGAGATTTCTTGCGATGAAGTCCCGAAGTCTGCCGAGGCAAGTTCATCGCTCCTCTTTTCTGCTATTAATTTTGCTACTTGTTTGGAAAACTATTTTAGTTTATGCAAGAAGGTATTGCCTACTGCTAGCGATAATTTGATTTCCTCATCCTTTGTATACGCGAAGATGACCAGATTCTTCTTAGATTTTCACGGCGTTTAGCCGCGACTAGAACTTAATTCATCGAGATAAAGTGCTTACTCAAGGAGATAGGTTGCAATTTGGCGTGATAGCGTTGTTATCAGCGGTGTTTATTAGTTTGTGCAACCACTGCACTTCTGAAAGGGCTATCTGGAATTGCATTTAATTGGAAGTGCTACAAATCCTCGAGAGCGCAGTTTTTGCTAATTGCTAGAGGTTTATGGCTTGTCATTTTTCTTTTGTTTCACAATGTGGTGGGCAATAATTAAGAAATGTCAATGAAGATTGTAAGTAGTTCATGGGCTAATGGTTTAACTGAAATTAAGTTGATGAAAGTTATGGTGCTTTTTCTCCTTCGTTGGTTCAAATGATGGCAGCGTTCATCTAACCCGAGCAATATTGATATGCCATATATTGGTAATTACATCGAGATGTTACCAATGAATTCTCATCGGTCTTAGAATCTAGATTATATACTAGCTTTTTTGTATGTTGGATTATTTTCCTTTGATACTTCTATTGTAGCTCAGCTTGTTATCCTATAATGAGTGAACTTTTGATGTTAGAAGGCTCAGGAAATGGTGACTAGAATTCTTCCTCCATCCATGTTCTGTTGTTGGATTATTGTCATTTTCAAGTCTGTACTGATGACTCCAATATTTATTGGTTATAGAACTTTTTGGCACTGTGTGCAAGTGGTTACTATGATGGAACCATATTCCACCGCAACATCAAAGGCTTTATGATACAAGGTGGAGATCCAACAGGCACGGGAAAAGGGGGAGCCAGCATATGGGGTAAAAAGTTTAATGACGAGATAAGGGAGTCACTCAAGGTATGTAATGAGATGTACACCATGCCATGTAACAGTTTTACAAACACTCAAGCTTCTTGTTCTGACCTTTATACAATGGGTGACATGCTTATTTTGTGAAACATTGCATCCTTGACCGTGTTGGTGAAGCTGACGTTCAAGTCGGAAGTTTGATTAGCCTTCCTGTCCCAAGCTGCCAATATTATCTAATCTGATTCCAATTCTAAAAGTGTCTTTCTCTGTTTTGGTTGTACAGCACAACGCAAGAGGGATATTATCAATGGCTAATAGTGGAGCAAATACGAATGGAAGCCAGTTTTTTATAACATATGCAAAGCAGCCACATTTAAATGGATTATATACTGTGTTCGGCAGAGTGATTCATGGGTTTGAAGTACTTGACATCATGGAAAAGGTAACGTTGTCATCATGGATTCAGCTTTGATAACCCATTGTTGTTAGGTTAAGTAATTAGCTTGTGAAATTAGTTGAATTGCCTATGAGCAGGCTGGGCACTCACAAATTTTAAAAGAAAGTCATATCGTGTGAGATCCCACGTCGGTTGGAGAGGGGAACGAAGCATTTCTTATAAGGGTGTGGAAACCTCTCCCTAGCAGACGCGTTTAAAAATCGTGAGACCGACGACAGTACGTAATGGGTCAAAGCAGACAATATCTACTAGCGATGAGTTTTGGCGGTTACAAATGATATCATAGCCAGACACCAGACGATATGCTAGGGAGGACGCAGAGCCCCCAAGGGGGTAGATTGTGAGATCCCACATCAGTAGGAGAGGGGAACGAAACATTCTTTATAAGGGTGTGAAAACCTCTCCTTAGTAGACGCGTTTTAAAAACCGTGAGACCGACGCGATACGTAAACGGCCAAAACGGACAATATGTGCTAGTAGTGACCTTGGGCTTTGGCTGTTACATATCACTTTTCTTGTCTTTAGAAAGAAGTCTTAAATCTGTAGCTAGAGAAGATTCATGTGCATACTTTGCCGGTAGCTTCTCATGTATGATCTGAAGTATAAATTTACTTCTTGTATAGTCTTTATCTAGTGAATTATTGTCTTTCGATATCTTTCGTACCATAGCGGTTAAAACTGTTTACCTTCTTTGCATCTGCATACATGTCTTAAGCTGATGTATTGCTTATTGCAGACTCAAACTGGACCGGGAGATCGTCCTCTCGCAGAGATCAGGCTCAATCGGGTGACGATACATGCTAATCCTCTTGCAGGCTAACCATGAATTAGCAGTAGAGCTGTTGAAACGTTAGTGTTAAAAGCTGCTGCTATGATCAGCTGGAAGCTGTGTATCGAAATAACATGACAGGTTCGAAATAGAGAATTGGAAGTAAACATTTATTTAAACTTGGGAGCTTTCTCATTAATTTGCTTTTGGATTGTTGACTTTCGTGTACACTGGTTTTATGCATATCTTGAACCGTATTTAGTCCATATTGCACTTGAGGATTTTACCTTTATTTTCTTTCAATTTTATAATAAACTGAATGTCGGGTTTGCTAGTTAGACATCTTATCAAAATTGAAACGATACAGAGAAGTTGAACGTTTGATTGTTATAGGAAGACGGTGCTGAATTATTATTCTTAATTGAAAAAAAAAACTAAGAGAAAACTATTTTTTCGTGCCATATGTCTTTTTTACTAAGTTACGTTTACTTACTATGTGAGTCATAGACAAAATTTTAAATCATTAGTAGCACGTAGATTTAAAGAAAACATTGATAATATGTGTTCGGATTAAATTTTCACTTTGATCATTATTTTATTTTATTATCACCTAATCGATTAAGATAAAAATTAATTTTAAATGATTAAATTTAAAATTTATTAAAAGTACAAAATACTAAAATAAAATGAAACTCTAAATACATTAATCAAATTAATTATAGTCTTAATAAATATTGAATGATTGAAATTAATTAAATAATAATAAATATTAAAAAAATAGTAGGTAAATATATTTGATAGTTTATCAATAGAATATAAGTATAAACTTTTTTTAGTAGAAAAAATCAATAATAACTAATTAAAAGATTTATTGAAATTGCAGACAATTATATAGACAGAATGATGTTTGAAATCAAAATGAGTTTTTTGTTTAAAAGAGAGAAAAACTTCTGTTACCCGGCGAAGGAGGGTAAAGAGTTGAGTGACTGGCACTACACCCACTTGAGCTTGTTCCGGAAGCTACAGGTATCAACTAGGGCTTCAAAATCCCCGCCAAAATTCTCCCTCCCGGTCTTCGTTTCTCACAGTCGCGGCAATGGATGGCGAAGATGCTAATCCTGAAGCTCCCAAATCCACTGCATTGCCTAAACATGGCAGTGGCTCCCAATCAAGCTCCTCCCACATTCATCCTCCTCATCCTCCTCATTCTCCTCCTCCTCCTCCTCCTCTTAACTCTGTCGATGAAACGCGCTCCAACAAGCCATTGAGTCCTCGGGAATTCGTCCTCTCAGTCGCCTCCAAGATCGCTTCCCAGCCTCTGCAGAACTTCGATTCTAACGTCTGGGGCGTTCTCACTGCCATTTCCGGCAATGCCCGTAAGCGCCAACAGGTTTTTGTCAGACCCCCTTCATCTGTAGTTCTTATAACTAATCGCCTGCCTGTAGTTATGGTTTTACGATTCTGATGCTTCATCGTTCCTTGATATATATTTATCTTGTCGACTTGGTAATGTTCTTTTTGGAGTCCCAAATTTATTTTTAACTTTTGTGGCGGGAGATGGGACATACGGTTAGATGGGGGACAACTGTGGGGTACTTGAACCTAAAGCTTTCGTTTCGGTAATTTAACTACGTGAACTTCTGCTGATGAAATGTGTTTGAAAACCAGGGTATAAATATCCTTCTGACCGATGACGAACACTGCCTCGGTCGAGTGGCGCCAGATAGTCGATACCAGATTGATTCTAATTCGGTCAGTGCAAAACATTGCAGAATTTATAGGAAGAGCATTGAAGATGCCTGTTGTCCATCAGTTTTCCTCAAAGATACAAGGTTGTCCTTTGCAAAGTGTCTCTGATTCTCCACGTACTTTGGCGTATGCTTTTTTTACGTTACTCCTCATAATACTTTGATCACGTCTTTTTTGTGTACTGTGCAGCACAAATGGAACGTATCTAAACTGGGAGAGGTTGAAGAAGAACAGTCAGGAGGCCAAAATCTGCCATGGGGACATCATATCACTTGCTGCAGCTCCACAGCATGGTTACTTAAATTTTCATTTTTTACTACCGTGGTTATACCTGCATTTAGCTGGCATAGCTCTCCCCACCGCAATTTTATTGATAGCATAGAAATGCTTTGTCCTTGTTGATTAAATTGTGTCACATCTTCCTTTATATACCGTTCTCAATTATTCAAGTAGCCATCCTTTTCTTCTGTTAATTCTGCTGGAAATTCAGTTTGAAAATGGTTTAGTGTTAATTCAAGATGACATCATTCAATAGTCATTGACCACTCTCCCCCTACATAATTTCAGAGGTCGCATTTGCATTTGTCTATAGAGAAGTGGCTGCATTTACTTCAGCATCAGGTGGTGGATCTGCAAAAAGAAAAGCAGGTAAGAGTAGAGTGAAAGTAGATTTATTTTCTTGGTATGCATATTGTTATAATTATTTGGTGGGTGATAGAAAAAGTATAGGCAGCTTGGAAAGTAATATGCTTGTAGCATGCTTCCCAATCTAGTTTCTTGACAGGTCGAATGTCAACTTTAATATGACGTGACTAATATAATGTTTGCACGCTGTTACTACCCTGTTCTACAGAGGATTTTGTTTCTGAAAACAAAAGGTTAAGAGGTCTTGGAATTGGTGCTCCTGATGGTCCGATATCTCTTGATGATTTTCGAAGTCTTCAACGATCAAATAAGGTATTGTTGTTCTTCAGGATCTCTTATAATGATGTTGATTTTCAGCATCCTTATTGATTCTAAATTCTGTCAAATGTTTACTTATGTTTTTGTCCTGTGTTTTTATATGTAGGAGCTTAGGAAGCAGTTGGAGGATCAAATGCTTATGATAGATTCATTGCGTAATGAAAATCGGGCATCTGTGGAGCATCATGAATGTGTATTTAGACTTCTGTCACTTATCTCCCAGTATGCCGTACATATTTGAATGCATGTGGTAGTTAATAGTTGATACGATGTTAGGGGAACTTTTAGAACTTTTACAGATTTCTTGCTTACGGTGGTGTATTCTTGAAGGATGTAGAGATGCCTTAACCGTTGAGCTATGCTCATGTTATTATATTTTCCCACACCCCATATTTTATTAGACTTTTTACTCATCACTCCTTTCTATGAGAGGTGGCTATTGAACCTGATGAATGTAGTGTAGCATTCGATGCAAGGGCCTCTTCCACAGTTTATGATTATACTCAAATCTTAGAAGATGGTGTAATTAACAGGTTCGTTCATTTTTTCTCAATTTCTCCTAGGTCTGGACAAGTCTTCCATTCTGAGATGGTGTTTTTGTATCAAAATCTTGCTAGTGCCCAATAAGTACAGATTATGCAGATTAGTAGCCTTGCCTTGTTGCTGAAAAGAGCATGATAGAATAGGTACTTCCATTAAAATGTTTCCTACAATATTATAGAACAGATTGTTTCAGCCTGCAAGAGTGCAATGAGACTCTGAATAGAAAAACTAGTGAATGTGCATATAGTTCTTCCTCCTCCTCTGCAAGGATAGTAATATAAGTCTGATGTTAGTTCTCTCTGCAAGAACTAGTGGGAAGAACACGAGTTTTGCATGTCACTGGCCTTGAGAATTAGTGGGACAAGATTATGCCAGCCAGCAAGAATACAATGGAAGTTTGTATCAATGGTTTCAATTTCAAGCATGGGTAGAGACTTGGTCAAGTAGAAAGAGACCAGGACGTTAGTTGAGGCAGCATCAGTGTAGGAGTAGGCAGTAACACATACTATGTATTCTCACCTTGGTTCCTCATATGCCCAAGCCAAGAAAGAAAACTGGTACGTCATTGCTTAGAAGTTGAGTGGGGCATTTCATTGTAGGCATGTGAAGCCAGCTGTGTGTGCTCATCTTGAATTTTCATATGCCAAAGGAAGCTCTTGAAGTGGCAAAGCGAAATCACTGGGAGTCCCAGAAGTGGCATAGGTGTAGTATTTGCATCATATTGTATCATGCAGTTTCCCTTTGCTTCAAAAGGCTAGAGCCCTTTGATTGATGTCATCGGAAATGGAACACTATGGTGGAATTTGTGGTTGGAGAGGAATTGTTACATTTTTTAAGGGTAGAATGAGATTTCAAGCGACCTCTTTGGCTCATTATTATTAGAACCTTACGTTGGCCTATGTGGTTTGAGAAAAAAACACAGTTTTTTTAGAACTTCTAACGAAATACTATGTTTTTCAGAAGTGGAAAGTATTTTTAATGCTTTAGAAATTGTTATTTCTAGAATTTCTCCTTCTGTTAATGCTTTAGTTGTTAACATAAATTTTTTCCCTCCATCTATATCCTTATAGTTTTGTAAATTGATGACAAAAAATGGTATAATTCTTTTTTTTTTTACAGAACAGGAACCGAGGATTTACTGCACGATTTGATAATGAATTTAGTCTTCATTCTTGTAGGAGGTGAAAAAGCTTAAAGAATCCATATCAAAATCTTATGAAGATCAACTGACTAAGATGCAGCAGTTGATTGACGATGAACAGAAGGAGCTTGGGGAGGTTCAAAGAATATCTTCTGAACAAAAACATGTTATAGAAGATCTACAAGAAAGACTCAGTGCTACTGCTCAGTCATGTAATGAAGCAAATGAAATAATAAATAGGTATCTTACTTATTTGTATCTGAATTAAATTGTTTGAAATTTCTTACTCCATCGATTTCGGTTAGTTTTGGGATTTTAGTTGAAACCAAAAAAATTATTGTTGTATATAATTATTTTTGTCACCAATTTGAACTCATTTATGCTGTTAAGTCATCTTGTTTCTTGATGGATTGGAACCGGCGACACATTTTATGAATCATTGAAAACCTGCTTAATTTCTGTAAAGATTATGTGGATCCAATAATTCTGTGGGATGATTTACGCATATGAGATGTGCGGCTCTGCAAATTAGAGAAATTCCCCAACTGTTGTAATAAAAAAAATAAAGGGTTAGAACCTGCCACTTTTCTTCCTATTTCCTAATCATATATTAGTTACCAACTTTCCAGATGTAGCTTGTTTCAGTGTGTTCAAAATTTTTGGTTTTTTGGTGGAAACTGATCCTCTTGACATTGCTGGAAGTGAATCTAACAGTAACCTCTGTCATTTGCATGATATGAGAAAAGGTAGTTATGTTTTTTTAATTTTTATTTTCTTACAGCCAGAAGGCCTCTTTAAGCGAATTGAAGGTTCAAATTGATGAAGAGCGTGATCAGAGACGAGAAGAGCGAGAGAAGGCTGCTGCAGATCTGAAGGCAGCTGTAGAGAAAGCTCATGCAGTGGCTCAAGATGAATTAAAACGCATTTCTGATGCTGCCTCAAGGCGTGAAAGAGAACAACAAGAAGTAATCAATAAACTTCAGGTTTGTTCCGTTTTTTTTTTTCTTTTTTATTGTGATAATGCCTTATTTACAGAAATTCTGTAAAGTGTCTCTTAAAAATCCATCTGATCTTCGGGAGGAGTAGAGTGGATCTGTCTTATGCATGCTTATTATGGTTCAGCATAATAAATTTATTAGACTCTGATCTTTTGAAATATACTGCTTGAAAGAAATAGAACTTTTTAGGAAGAGAATAGGATTGGAGGAAAATGTGTGGAATTATAGTTTTCGGGACTTCTTTTCAGAGATTCTCTTATGATAGTGTTTTGTAATTACTGTCTCTCTTATAGAATGCCTTCTTCTTTTATTTTATTTTTTTTTAATTTGTTGGAAGCATTTTTCACATTTCCTTATCATCAATCAGGAAGCCGAGAAAGAACGGTGTTTTCAGGTGGAAACGTTGAGGTCCAAGTTGGTATATATATATTAAATGACTCTTTATCTATTCACTTTCGAGTAATTTCACTATTTAAGATTTGAACGTATATCAGTTGCTTTACTTAGCTGCCATATCTATTGCAGGAGGAGACTAGACAGAAATTAGTTATGTCGGACAATAAAGTTCGTCAGCTAGAATCCCAACTTGGTGAAGAGCAGCTATCCTGTACGAATGAAAGAAAAGTAATGATGTTGCATTTTGATTATATTTTTTAATATATATACTAGAACTAGAAGTGCAAAAAGATTCTAATGCCCTTTATGGTAATGTTGAAATTGGAGCAGAAAGTTGAAGAGCTTGATCGTGGAATAAAAGAACTGCAGAAAGAGCTTGAGAATGAAAAGGTAGTTGTAATGTGTTTTTAACAGAGTTAATTTCAACGAATTAGATCACTGTCAATGTGAAAAACTTCATTCTCATTTTCTTAAGGTTTGTGCTGAAATACACAAGTATTACAGGTATACATTTATATGTGGTGAGTTAGGAAAATATTTCTGGAATTATCTCCCCAAAGAATAAAGAAGATGGTGTAGTATTATATTTTATTTATGAGTTTGATCCAGTAAAGCTAAGCTACTCAAGAATTTCTCCTCGAGAAAAGCTTTGTGATTTTGACTAAGATTTTTGAATTTGCTGCTGGACGGTTTTGGTTGGTTGACGTCCTTTCCCAATAACATTCTAGGAGGACATCCTTTAAAGTAAAAACGCAGTGGTTGATTTAGTTTTTTTTTTTTTTAGGTTCTTCAACCAAGTAATATTTCAATTTCTGAGTAACTGCAAGTTAGTTAAAAGAACAAAGAATCCAACACTAAAAAGAAGCTGGATTTAAAGTCATGATCTACCTATAACCTAACCTCAGAAACTGTACAAAGTCGTCTGGCATCCATGGCGATCACTGCTTCCTCTGTGTCCATGCTTCTTTGGTTCCCGTCTCTCTTCTCTCTCTCTTTTCTTTTAATCTAAAAGAAAGGTTATGGTCAAGAAAGAAAAAAAAGATTTAAGTTTTCTCTTCCTGACTTTTTTGTTATTAATATCTTCTTAACGGTGGATTGCTCATCATATGGTTACCAATCTCACTATTTTAGATAGTTTCTTGATTTGGAGCAGTTGTAGCTAGTTAGCTTTTGGAGGATCCCTTTGCTGGCCTGTTTTTGCATTCCCCTTTTGTATTTTAATTTTCTGGATTGATACTGGTTTCTTATAGAAAAAAGGAATTTCTTGTACTTCGTTTTTTTATTGAAAAGAAAAGCACTCTGAATGTTATCTTTCTTTTGGGTTTATTTTCAGGTGAAGATACTTTCTTAAGTACCTTTGTTCTATACCTTTCCTTTTCATACTAATATGTTTCTGGAAAAATTGGCTTAATTGCACGAACTTTTGCAAAGAGTTTTCACTTCTTACATTCTTAATCTGAGGTTTTCCTACTGTCGGTAGCAGGGAGCAAGAGAAGAGGCTTGGGCTAAGGTATCATCCCTGGAGCTTGAAATAAATGCTGCAATAAGGGATCTTGATTTTGAGAGGAGGAGGTTAAAAGGTGCTAGGGAACGAATTATGCTTCGGTAAGAATTTCTCCAGTTAACGTATGATGTATTTACTTCTGTTTAAATCATAGCATCGTTCACATGATTGATCATGTGATTCAAAATATATTAAATGGGTGAGCAGCTGAGCTTTAAGACCTCTGCATTATGAAAGAGGTCTGGTGGACGTCCTTGAACAAACACCTTGATAATGGTGAATGAGTATTGATGATACAAGTTTGAAGTCACCTTTTAGTAATCTGCGTGCTTACTTTACTAATCTAGTATTCTTGGTGGATGTGTTGATATTCTAATTTCCTTTTATTCTAGTTGTTCGTCTCCGTTTTCAAAATTGATAATGGTGTGTTCCTTCACTAAAATTCAAAATTGTTCGTCTCCGTTTGATAATCTGAATAGGTCCCCCCTTGTCGCTAAATTTATTGCGTTATTGCAATTTTCTGCTCTTTAGTATTTTAGTTCAGTAGCGTTATTATTTACTCTATACATTGCATAAATGCATGCAGAGAAACACAGCTACGAGCATTTTATTCTACCACCGAAGAAATTTCAGCTCTGTTTGCCAAGCAGCAAGAGCAATTAAAAGCAATGCAAAGGACTCTAGAAGATGAAGAGAATTATGAAAACACTTCCTTTGATTTTGATCTCAATGTGCCCTCTCAGGATGCAAATGGAATTTTATTTGGAGATAATATAAGGAAGGACTATTGTAACAAATCTGATAAAACTAGTTCGGCTATGTCAGCTCAGAGGTTTGAGCCAGTCCAAGCTGAGACGTCAACTGACGAAGCCAGCACTGAGAAGAACGACTGTGATTTCAGAAGTCAAGACTGTCAGAATACTCAAGAGGCAGAATTCACTAGTGCTGATGCTGGTGTTAAGGGAGGTTTTGGTTCTGACATTGATGGCGTTGGCACAGCTCCTGTTTTGGAAGGAGACATGGTTGGGACTGAACGGATTCTTGAGACCGAAAGTCCTGGAGTTGATGGTGATCGAAACATGGATTTGAACAAGGGCATGATCTTAGCTGGGGAAACGATATGTTTTGATGATGAAGGTTGTGCAGGAGAGATGGACGAGCAGGCTAAGATGGTTCGTCGGGAAGCTTACTGTCACTCTCAGACAAATCAAATATGTGATGCTGTTGATGCCGTGGAGGACACTGAAGCTTGTGGAACAGTCAGAACTGCTGACCTTTTAGCTTCTGAAGTTGCTGGTAGCTGGGCTTCCAGTACTGCACCATCAGTTCACAGTGAGAACGAGTCTCAAAAAAGCAGAGGCAATGAAGGAGGAGGTGATGGAGCCCTTCATGACTCCAACAGCCCAGGGATTCGAAGTACTCTTTTCAAGCCTGTTGCAACAAGACGGAACTCTGAATATCAAACTGTCAGCGAGATGATCAGAATAGTTGCTCCTGAATCAAAACAGTTTTTTCGCTCTAGGGAGGACGGTCGTGAAGGAGAACAAGGCTCTACATCTGGCTCAGACACGGACAAGTGCTCGGACAACGACGACGATGCGCATGATAATAACGAAAGCAAAGCCCAGAAGGGGACAGTCTCAGATTCAGAAACTCAAGGAGTTGATGCCATAGATCCAAAACTAGATGATCCAATGGATGAAGATGATCAAGAAACGCAAGAAGATTCTGTAGGATAAAAGTTTGGAGACGCTGGAGCTGTAAATATGGTGGACTTTCTTATCTTCTCATGTCTTCTTGAGGTATCTTCCTTACGTGCATCGATGCTAGACAGTATATCCATTATGTAAATATCTGAATTTTCTTTTCGTTTCTTTTTCACAGCTCTTCCTGGAATGAGAGTGTTAGCGGTGAATGATTAGTGCTATGCAATGTAGATGATATTGACGCTTATGAAAATAGGAAGTTATTCTACATGACTTCTTTCAAGGTACCATGTTCCTAGAATCATTAAAATTACAGCCTCCGCAATGTCCCCGACAGCTATTTTAGATCGTGAGTATCTAAGTCATTTATACTACCTGTCTAGACTATGAGTATCTGAGTCATTTATACTGCCTGTCTAGACGATGAGGATCTAAGTCATTTATACTACTACCATACCTTGACTTAAGTCACGAGCCAACCTAATCCCACGAACATTCAATTGTGAAGATCTAGAAGGCTTTCGATTTTTAGTCTTTATAACTCCTGTCTATTCATGTAGCCACTTCACTTGAAATGGAATCTCAAAATCGAGCTTTTAGCCTAATCGTCTTAGGAGCTATCATCTCTTAAGATGCCTGTCTTTCCATCAATCAANTTGTTCTTTTTTTTTTTTTTTTTTTTTTTTTTTTTTTTTTTTTTTTTTTTGATAGAAGTGGAGACTAAGATCCAAGAACTAATTCAATCATGGCTCCATTGAAAGTCAATTGGGTTAGCATAACACCCAAACACCACTGGGATCTGCCAATTCATCTCACGGATTTGCTTCCTTATTGTCAGAGATATTGACTTCACTCACCAAAGTGGATCTTGAAATTATTGTGGCCTCCCACTGTCTTCAACATTTTATCATCCAACAAATTTTATTCTAAATAATAATTAGACAAAGGAAATAAATCTTCAATTCTTACCGACAATTTTTTTTTTTTTTTTTTGAAGATATAAATATTTTCTATTTATGATATTTATTTTATTTCATTAGTCAACTTTCCTTTTTTTATTTATTAGAAAAACAACTTAAAAATTATCACTACTTTGAAAGGAAATATTCCTTCCATGAAAACGTTCAAGCATTGTTCGACTATGAAAAGAAATCGTAGTATTTTTTTTCCCTTTAAAAAGGGTTTCAATTTTGTTTTTATTCCCTATTTTTTTTTAAAAAAAAAAAGAATAAATTAATGCAATTATATTTAACAACTCTGAAATTATTTTAAAAATAATATAGGAATTGAGTTCAGGAGTCGAGTGGACTAAAGTGATCTGACTGCCCAATCCTTTGGCAAAAGTGCATTAGATCGGGACTTTTTTTCTTATCTGCCCCTTTATTTTATTATATTATCAAAACAGCCCCTTACATCTACATATTTTTATTCTTTTCTTTATTTACTTATTATCAATTTAAGTAATTAATTAAATATGATAGTTTAATATTTAAAATCACGTGTAAGAGAAGTAGATGATAAAATAAGAGTTTAAATTTATATAAAAATTTGAATATAAACTCTTCCCTTTAAAAACTTTATATTATATATAAACACAATGTCTTATTTTCGAAATTTTATTTTCTCCTCTTTATAATAATTTTCTATGGTGTAATCATTATCTTTAAAATGTAAAAGTTGAATAACTCCCTCTACTATAAAGCCAATAGGTATAGGTGGGGGTGCACCTTAATTTGATTTGGAAGAAAACCCTATGATATTATCATGCCCACTCTCAAATTCTCTTCCTAAGAACATTTATTTATTTATTTTTAATTCCAATATAGTTTTTGTATCATACTTATTTTAATTTATGTATATTTATACAATAATGTTTATGTGATCATGATTTCTTTTAAGGAAAAAAAAACGCGCATATTTCAAAAGGAATTAAACTTTACCTATAATATCAAAAGGACGGAAGGGTAATTTGGTAATTTTACAATAACGTTAGAATTTTTTTAGGATTTTTTATTTTTATTTTTATTTTTTAAATGGGGTTCACGGGCTTACATTGGTGATATTCATATTCATTATTATGGTTGAGAAAAAAAAATGATAAGGGATAATTTAAAATTGCATAAGAAGAAGGATTGCAATGATGGAAAGAGATGAGATGAGATGATGAAGAAGAAGAAGGAGGAAAGATGGAAAGAAAAAGAGAGGAAAATTGAAGCAATGAATTTAATAATTGAATTTAGTGGCACAACAAAAGAAACCATGGATTTCTAGTTTGAATTTGGAGGAGGATGCTGATGACGTGGACCACCCTCTTTGATAATGAGAGGTACATTCAAAAGTACATCATTTTTCCTTAATTTAAATTAAATATATTCTACATCCTTTATTTAATTAATTATTCAATTACGTAACTAGAAGTTTACCGACTACAAACTTCCAATTTAACTTGTTCGTGAGTTAGATTAAGAGAGATGTTTTGAACGTGCCTTAAATTTTTGCATTTTAATCTTTTAAGTATCTCGTGCATGTAAATGAGCGAGAATTGAAACTTGCATAATAATAATATGGGAGAGATTTATCTTTCATTTATCTTAATAATTAAATTAGGTTTAAATAAGGTGAATGATTAGGATTTATTGATTATATATTTTCACATATTTATTTAAAAATTAATGATGATTTAATGGTATTTGTTTAAAGGGTGAAAGAATGAATTAATATTTTCTTAAAATATAGTTGGGGAATAAGAATATATTTTCTATGTAATTATAATTTAAGTAAAATATTTTATAAAATAAATATTATAGTTTGTTTGATTTATCCAAACTCCAACAACTTAATTAGTTTTATAGTTTAATAAATTAGACGTATCCATTTAATTATTTTAAATTTAACCAAATTGAAATAAAATAATTAAATAAATAAGAAAATGATAACACTAATGGATTTTTGTTTAGAAAAAAGAATGAGATTCCAAATAATCATCATTTTGTTTGTTCGTTTTTTGTCTTTCTATTTTCAGAAAATAAACTCTAAACTTAAATTAAATATTACAACTTTTTAATTAACTATTTAATATTTTAATTGAACAAAATCAATAGAACTTCTCTTGTGGGGCCCACTTGTGATCGTATTAAGTTTTACTGAATTCCATGGAATTTTATTTTTTTTTAGAAAAAAACAAAAATTAAAAATAATTTTTTTTTTTTTTTTTATTTTGTCTTCGCATCCTCGCGATTATACGATATGCTTCCATTCTATCACTATTTTTTTTTTTTTTTTTGTCATTTTCAAAATATCCCCTTCTTTTTTATCTATATATTTCTCGAATTTATTTTCCGAAAATATTTAAATTCGATTATTTTTTCAAAAATAACGATTTATCTTACTAATACTATTTTTTAATTAATTTTTTGAATTTGTATCAATTTAATCTATAAATTTCAAAATAAATTTCTATAATTTAACAATCAAGTTCCTAAATTTATAAAGTTTATAATTTAATTTATACCATTAATTTAGCATTTTAATTAATACTGAGGCAAAAATTATGAATATAAATTAATTTTTTTCGGACGTGAAGTATATAAAATTATTAATAAGAAGGGAAGAAAATTAAAATTTTCTTCGATTTCTTTTCCTAAAATATTTAAATTTGTTATTTATCTTAATAATACTATTTTTTTAATTTATATCAATTTAGTCTATGAACTTTAAAATCTAACCATCAAGTTCCTCGTCTGATACCCGAAGGAAAAATCAAAATTGAGTTGTAGTCTTGTTAGCCCAACACAAAATTGAGGGTTTAATTTATACAATAATTTAAGATTTTAATTAATACCGAGATAAAAATTATGAATATAAATTAATTTTTTTTTTGGGGACATATATAAAATTAAAATTTAGGCAAGTGATTGGATTAGTTGATGGAACTTAACTTTCAAAACTTTAGTTACTAATGAATCAATAATGCATCTTTTTTCTTCTTCAAAGCTTTAATAATGTAAATAATTAAAGTGACAGGACATGCATGCAAAAGAAAATGTTTTACTAATTTTCAAATTTTGGATTATCATTTTCTTTATTCAAAAAATAAATCATAATAATTTGAATCTCAATTTTTTTTTAAATTAAGTTTTTAAACCTTACTTCCAGTATAATTTTTTTATTATTATTTTCAAAATTCAAGTAAATTTTTTTAAAACTCTACAAAAAAAAAAAAAATAATAATAATAATAATTATTATTATTATAAGGAGGAATTGGAGGTATAGGTGGCACGTGGGAATTGGGGGACCATGTGAGGTGGGTGAGCTAAATTAGACAAATTATGAACACCGTCAATTTATCATCATTATTTCATTTCATCCCTCTTTTGCATATACAAACACACACACACTTATTTATGTGGTGCTCATGAATCATTATCATCAAGAACAACCCACCCAATTTTAAACAATATATAATTTATTGCTTTCAAAAATATTTTTATTTTTTAAATTTACAATATTATCCTTCCCCATCCTTAAATTATCAAAAATAGTTCCACTTTTTGTCAAAATAATTTTAGAACATTTATATATATAAGTACGTATGTGTGTCGATGTAATGTGATATATTTTATTTTGTTATTTAACGAAGCGTGGTTTTGTACTCGATTGCGTCTAGAAAATGGACAAAACGTGGACCTAATTATATTGACTCGACACTTACTTCTTTTTCTTCTTCTCAAATAAATAATTCGAGTAAATTAATTTAAATTTCTATTTCAAATTTATTTTAAAATTGATTATATATCACTTTTAATATGTACGTAAAAGACTTCTTTATAGAAAGTAACAAAAGAAAATAGAGAAAATATAGGATAATTAAATAGAAAATAGTTTTTTTTTTTTCATTAGATTTGAGCGATTTTATTAGATTTGAGAAAATAGGATTTGGAGTGGATAATATCAATAAAGTAATATAATATCTAAATTAATTTAATCATAAAAAATAAATTAAACTCTATAATTTAAATGATTAAATGTGATAGGGTTTGACAAAGCTCCCACGTGCCAGTTTTGCCAACGCGACGAAATTACTGAAAATTAAAATAAAATAAAATAAAATAAAAGTGTCTGCTTTTCAAAAACATCCTTTCTCTCTTCCTCTTTTATCTTTCTCACACCCTCCCTATAACAATTATAAGTTTTTCTTTTTTTTTTAATCAACAAATAACATTTTAATACCTCTATCTAAAATTTATTAATTCTAATTTTATTTATTTCAATATAAATTTGGTAATTCATTAATATACAATCTCAAATTAATATAATTATGAGAATTAAAATATATTTTCGAAACCTTACGTGTTAATTTGAGCAAAGTAAATTAATTAAAATATATACTTTCGACATGTTACATGTTGAACACTACATGGTTGGTCTAATGGACATTTGGACATGTTAAAACAATAATAATAATATAAAAAAATAAGGTTAAAATCCATTCGGGTTTTAAAATGGTGATTGGTATCTTTATTCACTAAACTATGCCCAAATTGACATAATGGTATTACACTGGAATAGAAGAGGGGTACATGAATGAATCGAGACCTCATTCGAATGAGAGTGATTTTAAGGATAGGATGATTGAAAAAGACTTAAAAGAATTGAAAGTTACTTACTCGTACCAACAAGGTGCACCGTTCTTTTCGGTGGCTCAATCATAGAACTACATAGCTAAGTGTCATTTGTTGGAAGGATTCGTGTTGATTTGTGGGGATGGTGTTTACTCTTAGAAGCGAGGAGTAAGTAACGTGACTATGTCACAGGGGAATATTAGGGGCATTAGTGCCGAATCTGGATTTCGAATCTTGGATATAAGTTGTTACCGATGGTCACTTACTTAGACCGTTGTTATCGGGAAAAAATAGTCAAAATGTGCATAATTAATTGGACAAAATACTCGAGAATATAAAAAATAAAATAAAAAAAGTGGAAAATTGGTAATAAAATAAGAATGGCTTGAAGAAACACTATACTTATAAAGGAAAAGCTTGAAGTGTAAGAATAAAAGGATGAGTTGTTTGCTGAAAGATAAAACATTCTCAAAACCAGAGTTGAAAAATAATAATAATAATAAAACAATAATGAAAAGAAAGAAGAAGTTTTGGGTATGAATGGTGGAGGGTAAAGGGAGGCAGCGGCTGGGTTTGGTACTTTGAACGCACACAAATTATATTCAAACATTTAATTTCAAGCCAAACAATTCCAACTTCATCATTGCCCTAAGTTTGATTGTTCCGCACGGCTATGTTACGTATCTATGCATATATTAACATTATTATATATACATTTTTTTTTTACCATATGCTTTTTTATTTTACCATATGGTTCTTATAAACTTCTCTTTTTTTCAAAAACTTTATTATATCTTACACGAAATTTCCTCCTCCCCTCATCCTTTAAATTCAATTTAAAAAAATTTAATAATTATTTAACATTTATTATTATTATTTTTTTACGTTTTGTATATGAATTGAAACATTTGTTTATTTATATCTTATAGATCACATTCTTCGGTTGTTTCGAAAATACTAGTATTTTTAAAAAATGTTGGAAGATATTAACGAAGCTTTTGAGTATTTAGTAGTCATTTGAAGACCGAAGTCTTTAAAAATGTGTTCAATTTATGCTTAATAAGTCTGATTTTTTTTTTAAAATAATGAATCATATAGACATAAAATTACAAAATTAAAATTTTTTTTTAGAGAGGAGAAATATTTTTTAATCGCAAGATAATATAGGATGGGAGACAGAGATTATATTTCCCCTCCATTCCCACCACCCCTCATTTTGTAAGGCACGGAACATAGTAAAATAAATATTAAATTATAAATTTAATTTATAAATTTTAAAATATTTAATATATATTTTTTAATTTAATAATTATTATGACATAAAAGTTAAATTTTATATGTAATAAATTAAATTTATAAATTAAGAAATATCAATTACTTTAATGGAAGTTACAAAATGTGACGAATAAAGCATTTAATTGGAGCAAATGAACCGAACTGAATCCTAATTGTTGCCTACGGCTTTAGGTTTTTTTAGACTTTTTTTTTTTTTTTCCCAAAAAAATAAATAAATAAATAAATCTCATTTTCTCACAGTGATCGTCTTCTAATTCTGCATTGTTCGTCATCTACTTGCTGCCCCTTTGCCATCATGAGTCTTACTGTAATCATTGCTATGGAAAGCCTCTCTTTCTCTCTCTTCTGCCATTTCCCTTTTTGTTCGTCTCTCTTCTATTTATACTTCCAATCTCCTTCTCCGCCATTGCTAACCAATTCTCTGAATTCGACCTTCACAGCAGCAGCCGAAATATGTGCGATTCTTCTCGATTGAACCTCACTCGTTCGTTTTTAGATTCTCGCCATCGCCGCCGGCCGATTCGAGTTTACAGGCTTTTGAGGTGATTGATTTTTTTGTTCTTGCTTTTCCGATTTGATTCTTCGGTTTCTCTGATTTTGTATTTACAGAGTTTGTGTTTTGTTTTCAGGAGGATGAGATTCAAGAAGGAAGAGGCGAATACGGCGGGCGTTAAGGTAGAGATGGAGATCAAGAATTTGAAACTGTACATGGAGAATCAGAGCATTATTGAGGAGAACGAGAGGCTGAGGAAGAAAGCGTTTCTTCTTCACAAAGAGAATCAGGTTTTGTTATCTCAACTCCAGAATTTCTCCAAGCAAAAACCACAGCCTGGCTCCAATTTGAGCGCCTGGCTCGAAAATTAAAAATCGTCTGTAACAAAGAATCAAGTAGAGGATCTCTCAACCTTTGATCACTTTCTTGCTTCCGATTTCTTTCTTTCTTTCTTTCTTTTTTCCTACGATTCCTTGGTATGTAATCTGTTATTTTGACAATAAGTTAGGTTTAGATCTTGAGGGGAGGGGAATAAGGGTAAAATTCAGTTATTAGGGGATAGATTTTAAGAACATAGTGATGTTATGAAGTATCATGAAGCAAAACTCTGTAGTCTGTACTGTAAAATTCGATCTATCGAAATTCTCCATTGATGAACCTTTGTTTATGTGATCAAACTCCATTGAAGAAGCTTGGTTGGTGCTTTGTTCAAGAACGCGTTGTGACTCTCTCGCTCCTTAAAATTTTTAAAAAATATTCTCTCGAATCGATTTATATATTTTAATTATATTGGTAAGAGGATAGGATTAAGAAATAATGTTATGACAAGTTACTCGAATCAAAGTTGATAGTAATTTCAATTAAAAAAATATATTTTCTTCATTTTCTGACAATATATTATAGTAATTTCTTCAAATTATTTTTCTATTTTCTACCTCACTAAAAAAAAAAAAAAAGGCTAATTTAAAAAACCTGCGTGGTTTCCTCTAGTTTAATTATTATTAAATTAAAAATTAAAAAAAAAAAAAAAGTTCATAAAACGTCTTGCTCGAATAATGAATATATTTTTTTAATAATTTTTTTATCTTAAAACTTTCAATTTTGAGTGGTTTAATTTCTGTAAATTTATCGTCTAATCTTAATTAAAAGCTAACATAAAAAAAATCTTCTTTGCTTAAATTCATTAATTTCAATAAAATAAAGTTTTCTCAAAAATAAATTTGACCCAATTTAAAATGTGTATTTACTCATATTTTGTAATTCAAGAGAAATTTTTTTAAATAATATTTTAAGGAAGAACTTGTTAGCGGGTTAAAATTGCAAGGTTATCCAAAATTTGAATTTAGAATTAAAATTAATAAAATACAAATTTGGGAGTTAAAATTATTTTATTTTATTTTTCCTATAAACTTTCCAACCTAAAATACCAAATTGAAATTAAGTCTAAATCAATAATTATTTACAAACCCATCACATCATTAAAAAAAAATCTAGTTCAAATATTGATTAAAAAAATACCCAATATTCAATTTCATTAAATTGAGATAAATGCTATAATTTTATCCTAAAATTAAAAAAAGTATTGCAAATTTACTTTTGGGTTGGTTTTTGTTCCAATTAAGGTTGAAAAAGTGTTCGTCTAATGAATAGTAATAAAACAAATATTTGATTTAAATAACCAAACAAAATTCAGACCTTTATTAAACATTATTTAAAGTTCCAGTAGATAAACACAAACTTAAAAAAAAAGTGGGTTTTTCCATTAAAAAAAAACAATAATGAAATAGTTATAAAACAGTCAATAAAGTGGGAGGAGAATAAGAACAATAAATACAATTTTCTACTTGAAAATATTAAAATTAAAAACCCCCCTTTAATATATTCTCAATGTACTTATAGAGACGAGAATATAATCAACAAACAAGAACGTAACGTAAGGGGGAAACCTTTAATATAATTTTTAAAAATTTGGAATTAGATATCTCAACAGAATGAGGCCCCAACCAACAGGCACCCATTTAGACGCCAAGAAACGAGTTGAAGACTTGGGTTTCACGTCCATTAATTCATATTTTATTATTACTACAAATTCAACACCACAAAACTCATAACAGCCTGCCTTGCTACAGAGAACCAACAAGAAATCTTAAGATTAAGGGCATGAGGAATAGAGTACAGACCTGAAAAATCTGAAGCAGCAAGGCAGCAAGGAACCGTGCTACTAATACCGACTAACCAAAATGAAATCGTCGTCATCAAGAACTTGTACGTCTTTTTCACCGACGAAGTTTTCCCGCCCAATTTGCTTGACTAATTTCACAAACTCCTCCCTCTTTGCTTTTGGAAGAGGTATGTATGGTAACCTAAACACAGGCCTCACGACCCCGAGTTGAGCAAGCGCCGTGTTGAGGCCTATTGGATTGGGTTCGAAGAACAACCAGTCCATCAAAGGCATCAGTTTTGCATTTAGGGGAGGGTTATTCCCTCCAAACATGAGCTCTCTCATTAAACCGGGCACCAAGTTGCTTGTAACAGAAATAACTCCAGTTGCTCCATGATTCCACCTGGCATCGTGACACTGATCGTCGTTTCCACTCCAGACCACAATTCCTTGGTTCGAGTACTGCTCGACACGATTGTTTCCAACGCACTCCTTCACACCAGCCAGATTGGGACTTTGAGCAACAGTTTGAATGACATGTGGGGGGATATCTTGACCAGTTCGAGGTGGTACGTTATATATAATAGTTGGGCCCATAGAAAGCACACAATTGAAGTGTGAGATCATTCCCTCGATGGAAGTTTTGCCATAATAAGGATTTATATGAAGGGCAGCGTGCATTCCAACAGCAAATCCCTGCTCCGAAGCATGAATTGCTTCTCTTGTAGAGTTACTTCCAGTGTTGCCTATGACCTTGATTGATCCACCAAAACAGTTGACAGTGTGACCAATAAGCATTATGTGCTCATCCCAGCTCATCAACTGACCTTCACCAGTCGTACCACCCACAATCACAGCTTCAGCTCCATTTTCAATCTGCCGATTCACCAAGGCATCATATGCTTCAAGATCAAATCTACCATCCGGAAGATAAGGTGTTTTAATGGCAGTTACAAGTCTGAGAGATTTGATATCATCTGCTGATGTCCTGCAAATAAGAGCTGGAGAAATTGAGCCAGTCTATGATTGTTATGAGCTGAAATAAACAGACAGCAATGACTAATAGGGAATACTTTATGACCCAGCGGATACACCAGCACAGTTTCATAATCATAAATATTGTAGAACCAAAAAAACATTCAGACACTGATTACATAAGTCGATCACAATGTTAATTACTAGTAACGTGTAACAGCAGTTGTTGAGTTCAGAATGTTTACTATAGAGTTCACACCATATCAAAATTACCGGCCAGTATCTCCCAAAAAAAATTTGGGGTGGGGGGTGTGAGCAAGTTGGTCGTTTAATTCTTCCTCGGACCGTGATGGTGAATGAAGAACAGTCAATTATTACATTGTGTCTAATCAGTGAGAGAAAGCATGCGGGGGAAAAAAAAAAAAAATGCTCACATCTTTTGTTATCTTATATCCACCAACTGAGAAAACTTGAGCTCTGTGATAAGAAAAATGATTTTAACAGAACAACTATTATTATGAACTGAAGTAAACAGACAGCAATGACTAATATCCTAAACGCTACATAATGCAAACAGCCAACATGAAAAATGCAATTACAAATCCTATTTACAGACATTGACCAGTTCACTAAGAGGCAAGAGGCCTTCCCAACTTAACCTCCATAAGAACGAATTCAAAAAATTACATAGCTCACCTGTTCTTGACTTCCAAACTGCGCATTGGGAGGTGTGCGTTGGGTAGGATGGCAGCCTGTGGAGATCTCCATAAGGCAGTCCTCTTGCGTCTGACAGTAATGAAGGAAGTAACATTGGTAAGTACATAATTTGACAAGTAGTGTTCAGACAGCCCTCCATTTCAGATTGAAGCATTCATTCACGGTGAACCCAATTGATATTCTACGTTACATTTCATTTACACTTCAGGAAACAATTAATCTATAGAACAAAATAGGAAGAACCTAACGTTCGTCGGCAGTATCATTGGCGACATGACTTTAAGCTTATTTCCTTTCGTTTTCTTACATACTTGAAGTGATAAAAAACGAACAAGCAGACAGAATATACATGGAATTATATGTATTGCTAGTATGTTTGTAACGAAAAATTGCAGGGAGATGCGAAATAGAAGTAATTCGATTAAGAAGTAGAAACACACAGCCACGACTGGTTGCAATAATCATCGATGGAGCAACTTTGGTCAAAGTCAGCTGGATGCTTAATGACCAGCATCAATCAGTACGAATAAATTATTCATTTCTTAAAATAAAATAATATGTCGAGGCAGCTACTAAAATGACGTATGCGAATGCATTTCAAGTAAATCCAAAAACCTTAAATCGTTGTTTAATAATTCAACTGAAAGTGGTATGTATACCTCCTGCAGCTGTCGTTGTAACTGGGACGCGGAAACTGAAGAGCATGTTCCTGCAAGCACGCGCCAAAGCCTTGAACACTGGTCATCTGGAACACCCAACCGATAACAAGACTTTCGCAGATGATGAACCTTCTTCACTGACCAACAAGCTACTGGAATCGTTTCCGGAAAAGGAAAACCGCCGAGGAGGATATGTGGCAGGGCGCAGAAGTTTACAGAATGATGATGGCGATGTTTGCAATTGCTGCGGTGGTCATCGTTGTGGTCGAAATAGTTCCGGTGAGCAGCCGGAGAAGTGCATGTGATGTGACTGGCTTTGAATGGAGAAATGCTTTTGATTGGAGCGGATGAGGATTTCAATGGAGGGAAGTGGAAATGGCTGATCATGGCTAAAGCTAGGGTTTGGACAGCGAAATTGTTGGATGGGCTTTTGATTGTGGGTAAGTGGAAATTGGGCTCGCGCGAGAGCAAAGCCCAATAACGATATATTGGAATGGGCCGAGATCGGCCCAAACGTTTAAAGGAAAATTAGTTTGGTTTTTCCTTATTATAATATCAAAATATATATTATTTTATTGATCCATATATTTGTGGTTTGACCTAATTGATTAGGTCATTCTCGATCAATTATGACGAAAATAATTATCGAGAATTTACACGAACATTCGTTAAATAGTTAGAAGATTTTCTAATTTAATTAACTGTCATGTGTTTGATCGCTCTCGAAAAAAATTAATTATTAGATCGATATTAATAAATTATTTAAATAATTTATTTTTTATTATTCACTTGGTTTATTATCATGATTAGTACCTTTTACGGTCGCCTGTTTCTTTAGCACGTATTTTAATCCCTTTTTTTTTTAATTTTTTTATTTTTATTATAAATAATTTATTTATAAACACTGAAATTACTTTTGGTTTTTGCCGCGAAATCTGCATCTTTTTTCCCTTTGAAGATAATTCCATTTTCTTTTAATTTCTAGAAATACTCGTCACGAAGGCACTGTGAAAACCGTCGGCGATATTTAAGAGTGGTCGGCGACGTGGGGGCGTTTTGGCCGCCGCGCAGTTTTCTCCGACGGGTGTTTTCACGTCGTGGTCGATTTATTTTCTCTTGGTTTTCTTCTTCGTTGGACCTACCGATCTGCGACCATCTCTGTCTCCTCTTCACTTATTTGGGCTCCACTCCTTTTCTCCATCATTTCGCAGTGTAATCAAGCTAGCCAGCCAGCAAGCACAAGCAAACGCTTTATATTTGTCCCATAACTTCTGGTTTTTTCACTCGCTTTCACTGCTTGCTTGTACCGAGCAGCTTCAGAAAGCTAACGAGGACCAGACGCCTTTGAATCCTTGATCGACGGTGATTTTTCTGCTGCCTATATTCGGATTGTATGGCTTTGAATGGTGCTTATAGGAATGGCGGCTCTCATAGAGGATCCTTCAAGGTGGATCGGCCGTCGCATGCTGCTTCTAACCTCAGGAGTTCGTCGTTCAAGGCTAGGCCACCTATTCGTCGGTCTACCTCTGCGTCTTTTGGCTCCAATTCAAATAAGTATGGGGATGGAGGTACGTGACAATGTATCCTTCTTTTGAAATTATGACTTGCTAAATCAAATGGACATAGAGCTGATTTATTTTGCTTGTTTTCGTAGTTATTATTTTTGTTTTCTGGTAAAGTGTCCTGTAATTGCCATCTAGAGTTGCTTTGACTTCAGCATTTTCTTCAGAGCAGTTTGATCTTCGAATTTCGCTTCCTCAAATAAGTGGTCTATTTATCAGATTCATCTGTGCGACTGTGGTTTTAAGCATCATAGTTCAATAAATTGAATTGGTGTAATTCCAATGTTGGTGCATTCAGTACTTCAGGATTAATTAGGAGGAGGGTTCTTGGAAACTGGACCTCGAATTTTTAGTGTTTTGCTTGATGGGAATTATTTTTGCATTTTTCTCTCCCTCTTTTCTATATGTAGCGTGCAATGACCGAGCCTTGCTTATTTTCGTCCATGTTGTATATGATTTGGTCAGTGCCAGGAAGAGTTCGTGTGGCTGTTAGATTACGACCCCGAAATGCAGAAGAGCAAGTGGCAGATGCAGATTTTGCTGATTGTGTGGAACTGCAGCCAGAGGTTAATATATTTTATTTCATTCTCAGCTCATCTTGGGTAGGATAATAGAGCAAATATTACTGCCATGAGATCAGCAAAAACATGTTGCTTGTGTGTTCACTTGAAGTAATTACAGTCTCGTGATAATGGAAGACAACAAAGATTCAGTTGCTATTAGTAGTACATTTGAGAATAACTAGATTACTTCGGAATAAAAATTTTCCTCTGGGCCAACGGCAGTTTATTAAAATTGAAGTCTGAAATAAAGGTACGTGGTTTGTTGATGATACCTACTTAGGAGTTGTGTATTCAAACATTTGGATGAGCTCAATAAGAAAAACCCTTAATTTCTTCGGGTCTGGGCCATGGGACGGGTGAAATGTTTTCTAGGATTAGTGGGGCTGGGGCCCCGATACCTAGTTATCAAAAATAAAAAAAAAAGAGATTAAATATGATGGAAACAAAAGACATAGGACATCAGCTTCCCGTTATTAGTGGCCAAATCTGAATGAACTCTTTCTTTTCATATTATAGGATTTGACATTGACCTTATTTATTACTTCATGGCAGCTTAAAAGATTGAAACTTCGAAAGAACAATTGGGATTCTGACACATATGAATTTGATGAGGTGCTTACTGAATCTGCATCACAGAAGCGTGTGTATGAAGTAGTTGCAAAGCCGGTAGTGGAGGTGTGTATGCTTGCAATATTCTTTAGTTTTAAAGTTGTTGAGAACCAGATACATGTCATACCAAAAAGCAGTAGTTTTTATATTCTTCTGATCCGACTGTATCATGCTCTATGACTCACACTAGCATGCATTTTTACACTCCTGCATGAACTTCTATTTTATTTCACTTTCTTCTTCTTCTGATGGTGATGACCTGCTTCATTTTTTAGAGTGTTCTAGAAGGTTATAATGGGACCGTGATGGCTTATGGCCAGACTGGTACGGGGAAGACATTTACGCTTGGACGATTAGGGGATGAAGATATGTCTGATCGTGGCATTATGGTCCGTGCTATGGAGGATATTTTAGCTGATGTATCTCATGAAGCAGATTCAGTTTCAGTCTCTTACTTGCAGGTGTTAATTCACAGGACAAAATAGTAAATGTATTATTTGTTTATGCTGTTTCACACTATATATCTTCTGGATTTTTATTTCCTTCATAATTTGTTGAAGCTCCAAATTTTTAATTGAAGTCTTTTGGTTCTTCGCAAGCAACTTACTCATATTTTTGGGCTTCTGTTGTTTAGCTTTATATGGAGACTCTGCAAGACTTGCTTGATCCAGCAAATGATAATATCCCATTTGTGGAAGATCCTAAAACAGGTGATGTTTCCGTACCTGGAGCAACTGTTGTGGAAATCAGGAACCAAAGCAGTTTTCTAGAGATACTACGTCTTGGAGAGGCCCATCGTTTTGCTGCCAATACAAAGTTGAATACCGAGTCTTCTCGTAGCCATGCAATTCTGATGGTGAATAATCAGTTTCATACTGTCTATATATCCTTGTGTGACTCTGATTTAATATTTCATGATTTACAATTTATTTATCAGGAAGGAGACTTTTGTTGGATCTTGATAATTCAAATTATATCAACGCTGTAGTGCAGGTACAGGTTAAAAGATCTGTTGTAAGGGAAGAGGTTCTTTCAGGTGAAGAGGGTGAACCTTCGGAGTTAGGTAGACCTTTCAGGCCACTTATTCGAAAGAGCAAGCTGGTTGTAGTGGATTTGGCAGGATCAGAGCGCATTCACAAGTCAGGTATGTTCCCTCTCTAGCGACTGTAATAGATTTGTACTTGTCCTCTGAAATCTAGTATGAATTTACTTTTGATGGCTGAGATGTTGCCTTAATAATCTTCCGTTAGCAGCGTGGTTGAAATAAATATCAGGTTTGCTGTTGTTTATTATGATATTTTATTTTATTTTGTATGAATTTACTTATTGTTGTTTGCTAGTTTTATTCTAAATCAAGAGACATATTTCTTTGATTTGTAAAACTATTCCTATGGGATTTTTACATAAAAAAGCCTCAGAGTTGGAATTAATTAAAATGAACAACAGTTGCAAATAGAGCTAGGAATACTTTCTACTCTCGCTTAACACATTTTCCTTATTTGATTTCTTTCTAACGATAGTCCACACAACAGTATCTTTAAGAGCCTTGATCCTTAACGATTAAGAAATTTCTACTTACAGGTTGTCGGTTCAAACTTGATCCACATATTTGTTATGTGATATTCTCCAAAAAAAAAAAAAAAAAAAAAAAAAAAAAAAAAAAAAAAAAAAAAAAAAAATCCAAA